ATTAAGAGCCGAAATATAGTATCCACATTTGATATTCCATAATTGCGCAGTACTTTTATACTATTTTCATTTTTGCAAATTTATTTCGTACATGGTCCTTCCAAATCAGAGAAAAATTGAGAATACTATTAGAAAACTGTTGCTTTCAATCTATCTCCACCAAATATCTCAATCGACAATGGAACTCTAGAATCTACAATTGATATTATGTAATTACGCAATATTATTTTTTTTACGTACGACGTAGCCTCACTTCGTTCCACATATAATATATTACAACCGAACAAATGTAGACACGTAAATATTCTGATCTTGCTAAATTTCCCTGAATTTCTTAACCTGGTACTCTAACCCATTCGAAAATATTACGACAATGTTACGAAAATAACCTACAGTTTCTATGCTACGAAGTAATGACTGACACTGCGCATTACTTTTCTTGAATTTATATTTCGTCACTTATAGCAATTGAAACACCAAACACTGATAACACTGTTTCACAAAACGTTTTGTATACGAGCTGAAAACTTTACTTTGACGCGCGAAAATATTCCGCCATATGTGAACGGTACGTTCGATTTGGCGGGAAGTGAGGTTGGGTGTGGTTAGGCAAGCTATGCGCGCGAAAATGCTGCATTTTTGAAACAGCCATATCAATATAGCCACATCAAACGGAGGCTTTTATATATATATTAATATAAAGAAAGCAAATAATGTACTATATAATAACATAATTTAACTAACATATAAATATATAATTAACATAAATATTAATTATCTAGTAATATATTCGTATATTATATACTTTATTCAGTTTGTCAGATGAAAAATATTTTTTGCCGCATTTGGGCGTATCGGCTCCACAGTGTGGCGATAGAAATGGAAGAGGAGAGTGAAAAAGCGAGGTAGAACGCGCGACGATTGATCTTTCTTTCGTATTCGTTAGATAAATGGATAAATGGGTATTCTCGAATATTCCTGGGTCCTCGATCATCGCCGTCGCCAATCTGCCAAGGCGGCGGATAGAAGGAAAATGGAGTTTACGAAACTATCACACAGACACGATAGCAACTAAATCACGTTTCAGCACATACCCCGACCATTTGTCATTAAAGGAACTTCGCACGACAATCACTGTTGTTCTTCCAGATATCTCTTCGTTATCATTCGTCCATTCGATAAATTCCTCCAGTAACGAAGAAAAGATCCATGCCCACTTTCGTCTCTTTTCTTTCGAAAATCTTCGATTAAATTTTCTATCATTTCGTCTCTCAAGACCCGGATAACACGGCGCAGTAGTTTAGTACGTACGATACACGAAATGCGACGTACATTCAAGATACGAACCTGAATTTCAAGTACTCATAATCCTTGATACACAAATATATCCTGTCACTATTGAGCAATCCCATGTGACATAAGACACTGCAGAAATTGCAGAAACGCGAAACCAGAAAGCTGTGCCGACGTTGAGTAACGTGCAGGACTAATTAAAAAGAATTCGGAGCTAATCGTGACAGTCGCAAAAATCCCATCACTCGGGTTAGTGCTTCGGTGTTTAAACGCCGTATCGATCGTACGTGTGCGTGTGTACTTTTTGAGTAGAGGGAATTGAAACGCATGCACGGATTTCGGAGTGAACATGGCACATAAAGAGGATATTTGAAAAAGCAAATGGCGCTTGTTGCGAGCTCGTTCTGTCCGCTTACGTGGTTATCGATTGGAAACTTGGACGTTCGATTTCTCGATTTTTTAGCCTGCCCTTTCGAATCGCGAGGGACAAATTCGTTTATGAACATACGACGATGTATTCTCCCTGTTCACTCGATGTCGAAATTACTCGATCGACTGGGAACGAGATTACCAAAAATTAAATTTAAATTTCCTTAACTTCTCGCGGCACCGTGTCACGAGTGCATCGTGCGTTGTAATTCCATTCGAATAAAAATATCACAAATAAAATTTTGCGTTACGATGAAAAATGCACGCGATGACGCAAACGCGAAAAATGTAAATGAAACACATATGCGATGTTAATTAAAAGTTTGATATATCTGGAAAGTTACGAAAAGTCGATATCCACGTTTGATAATTCTGCACCGACGAAGCTCTTTAATTATCGATAAACAAGAGGTTGTTTATCGAGCTACCGAGGCTTGAATTCCTCCGGTATCTCAAACGGCGTTCCACCACTCAGATCCGCTCTACCTTACTGCTAAATATTAAATAACGACAGGATGCAGAGATAATGAAAGCTTGTTCGTCTACCGAAATAGTCTCACGGAATTAATCATTAGCTGTGTCAGGATGTAAAGCCTAAAGACAGGAGACTACTCGCTGTCATCGTGTACTCATTTTGGGATCGTCGGAGACAACGAGACTCGTGTCTGGTACAAAGTTAATTAAACCCTACAAATTGACCGAGGGAGCGTTGTCACGTGCCATTCGTCTCGATGTAGACGAATGATCCGGCACTATTATTGGAATTTCGCATCTGTGACGCTGTGAGATTCGACGAAATACGTTTGTCCGAATGATGCAATGTACTTGATATTAGAAATGTAAGATTCAATGAAGACAAAGTATACGGAGTGTTGCACAGGAGCGTGCGAATCTATCATTAGAAAGTAAGGCCCGATGCAGATGATCGTGGTTACGATTTCGTCTAATAATGCAATTGCACCCTCGTGTGCATTGCGTCATTTGAGATACATGAAATACCAACGACGACGCATCGCTGGTTTGCATTGGGTCTTAGGTTTCTAATAGTAGAATAGTACCCTCGCGTGTATTGCATCATTTAGAGATATACGTCTGTCGAATCGTTCCGTTTCAAGGATCGTTGCCGTTCCTGAAACGATTGAGCAACCACGATTCTTTGCTTTCTTTTCGTATTCGAGTAAAATAATACGGTGAAAAGCTTGTTTTGAACCGACGAGAATAATTATTGAAAATTAATTGCTCCTTTGATCAAGATAAATCAAATTCGGCTGACGTACAGCATTTCGAACATTGGAATTATAATGGTTTTTATGATTGTCATAAATGCCGGTTGAGCGCAGTTTAGTCAAAAGACTCATACGTGACTGAACCATGGAATTACGTAGTAAGAATGATTCGTGTGGAACAATGAATCTCGCACGACTGAATTTACGTGGAGCATGGTCAGTAATTACGTCCCTGTGAAGGTTCGTGAATTTTAGAGAGGATTCGACATGTACAATAAAATTCTTAATTGTAACGATAAACGAATTTGTCTTTATTCGTAATTAAAAAAAAAAAAATGTATTCGGGATTTGAACACGTTAAGTATCATATTTGGTAAAGAAGCGGTTAAACGAGATCGCGATGCATAAATGGCGGAACCAAGTGTTGCTCGTAATTACGCGAGATTCACGTAGAAGAACATCCGGCATGTACGCCTGTGACTTAATAATATACAGCATAATGAGAATTTCAAGCTAAAGCATCTCGGCAAAAAAGTAATAATTAACGCGCAGCTGGTATAATCTTAGCATTCGAGGCCCATTTCGTGTTTAAAAGATAGTCCTGTTCGCGCTTAAAAGATATTCCTCTTTCGCGCTGAAAAGATATTCCTCTCTCGCTTTGAAAAGATATTCCTCTTTCGCACTGAAAAGATATTCCACTTTCTCGCGAAGCGTGACCATTGGTCGTAATTCAAATAAGCTAGTCAAAATATAAATTAATCAAAGAAATTAAAATTAACAGTCCGTAAACTTTAATTTACGTTTATATTTACGATTTACCATAAATCTCAAAACAAGTACGTGCAAAAGTGAACATAGCTGTAGGAAAGACGTTAAAAGTGCTATTGGAATTTTGGTTTTATTCAAACTGAAACGCAAGCATTGACTGAAGTAGTACTTTCGCTTACTTGACTCGAGCGGTTATGGAAGACGTGTTCGCGAGAAGACGTAAAAGTCACGTCGCGGCAATTCGTAGAGTGTTACTTAGCTTAATCGGCGGTTTCTCAACGCATCGACGAGGTAACTATCGGTTTTGCCTACCTTCCGATCGTATTCTCGTTTAAAAGTGTCTCCTTGTACTATTCAACCGCGGGTGAAGTTCATCGACAATCTACGCCGAAAGTGTAATTGGCGGGAAACCATCTTTGTCACTCGTAAAGGTACGCCGTGTGTTTTATAAAACGTACACTGCATAATCGTAGGCGTGGAGTGTAAAAATTAAAGAGTAAACACGAAAATAGAAACGAAGGCAGCGAGAGCGTGACGTGAAAAGCGACATACGTTTCATAATTTCTAGAAACTTCCTATTTTATAACCATATTTCATAGCGTATGTAAAAACTACGTTTCGTAGCTCGCGAATAATACGCCTCTCTTCCCTTGTTTCGTTTCTTCGTATATGCATATATATACCTATATGCATACATACGTACATACATATATACGTTCATACGTATATACGTATTTATACGTCGCATATATATATACACATACGACACGCATAGGGACTTTCTTACATTCGCGAGTGCCGACAAATCACGTCGCTGCTGCATTGAAACGCAGTGTCAAAGCGCCCTCTAAATCTGCGATACGCAGTAACGTTTCTTAATTAACGAACATTCGCGTCGTTCCAGTGAAATTTATATTCGAGTTGTTCCAGTGAAATTTATATTCGAGTTGTATTCAAGAACTCGATGGATAACGGAAAGAAGACGTACACGTTAATCCAGCCCCGAAGTTGTGTGACAGGCGACAAAAGGTGAACGGGTTGAACGATGAACGCAACAAAAACTGTTTGTGAACGTCGGTCGAGTGGCAATGGAGGTTAGAAGCGCGAGTGTACGGTGCGCGCAGCAGCATTTTTCGCGGTGACACGCCGAAGAAATTCAGGGGCATCGGGAGCCCCACATGGGAGGAGGGTTTTGGAGGCTGAGTAGGGAGCTTGCGCCTAGCCAGGCCGACTGGTTCGAGCTTGCGAGCTTTCGAGCAGCAGCCAGTCGCCGGCTGCCGGGCCACGACCTCGCATCTCGTCTGGTTCGTACCCTTTTTCCGAAAGAAGCATCGCAACCACGCTTCTCCGCATCGCATCTGGTGTTTCGTTTCGTATTTCCGACTCGTCGCAAGTTCAAACATCTCCGCGATTCTATTTATCCGTTCGAGCATCTGTTTTCGTCTCTGCCAGTGTCGAACGCCTCGTAGCGAAGAACTATCGAACTTCATCCTTCTTCGTCCGCCTCTCTCCCATAGTCACGAGACAAAGGGCCCCGGGCAACAGTGTGAAAGTGGAACGTAATCTCGGACAGTGCAACGCAGTTCGTTTCGGTCGTAGTGTCGTACAATTTACGGAGATTTCGGCATGGCGAATGGGTGACGACCACGAGACTCGTGATTCGCCGTGGGTTCACGCTGTTTTTCGGCAACGGGGGAACCATGTGAGGTTACGACCATGAGGGTAAGTCGACCGTGAAATATTTACCTAGTTACTTCTATATCTTATGCCCCGCGAGTTCCGCGCGTATAGTCTGCTCTCGCATCGGAACGTAGCTCGTGCATCGCTGTCACGTGATCCGTATCGGGATCGAACCGGATTGGTCAGCGTGCAGTAGGAAAACGAGCGAGTTAGACGAAAGTTCGACGGGACGTCAGCGCGAATTTTCTGTATTACCGCGTTTGCTCTCTACGTATTACAGTTTAAGCCCACCCGTTGCGCGCGCTGATTTATCGCGCGCTCAACGGGCCACGCAGCTTTGGACTGTAATTATTTTCACGTGACTGCTGTCAGGATTAAACTCTCGCCTCCGATAGGACGTGTTTTTCCGTTACCTCGTGCTAGCCGCGTGTTAGTTCGCCCATCAATTTATGCCTTTTCCCTTTTTCAACGTCGGATAAAGTTTTTCGCTTTTTCGATGAACTTGGTCCTTTTCACGGTTATTCGTGTACCGTTTTTCGTGCAGTAATTAAGTGCACCGGGGGTCGCGATGCGCCTCGTGTCTTCCAAATTGGATTGTCAGTGAATAATAGGCGCATTATCGAGTCGTCTCGCGGCGCTGTGTTTCGCTGAGAATTTACCCAGCGAAATCGCGACCCTGTAAATTTGTATGCCCTTCTGGAAGCTTCCCGTCGCTCGTGTCCGGGATTTTTAATCCGAAAAGTCGCGGAATCTCGATAAGCACGCTGAAAGTATAGAGGGAGCTAGAAACCTCGGAAATTAGTTCATTACATCAGCGTCATAAATTTCAACTCCTTGGACATCCTCGCGCTATATTTTCCCGAGCTTCGTTAACGTTCCCGCGTCTCTTAGTTGTCACCGTCTTACGTCGAACATTTTCAAGAATAATTTGCAAGAATAATTTGCAAGAAAATCTTTCCAGAATAAGTTTTCCCGAATGAAGTTCCCGGATAATATACTTTCAAGAATAAATTTCGCGAGGATGATCGCGCGGCGGAAGGAGCATTTTTAAAGAGAATTATAGCTCGCGAAAGTAGCTTAGAATCATTAATTGTGGATTTAATTTCGCTTTGTTAGAGACTTCGTCAGCGAGGGCGAGTTGCAGCCCTAAGGGTGCTAAGAGATTTATTATGCGCAGAAAATGGCGTGGTTAATAGAAGGGACATAATATATTCCTGGTAAAGACGTTATTTCATTATTATCCGACAACGTAAACTCTGGGTGAGAATATATTCCAACCACTTTCGCGGCATAATCTCACGGTATCGCTAACATTCGTTGTTTATTTATACTCGCGTTTATTATGTAACCCCGATATTTCATTCGTCGTAACAACGAGCTCCCGTAAAATCAACTCGCAATCCTCGTTATCGCGGCCATTTTCGATGACTTACGTTTCTAGTCCTTTCATAACAATCTTGGTACATATTTGCCTTTCTTCTGTGAAAATTAAACTCGTTCCCTCCGTTCAGCAGTATTTTCCACGAACGCCAAGTTTATACGCGTCATTCAAGATCGTCCGCCATGAAAATTAATCTCAACTCGCCGTTTGAAATTTTTCTACGCGGAAATTAAACTCGCATCCAGCCTCTTAAACTTTCAAAATATCAAACTCCTACCCCCCCGTTACAAATTTTCCTGCGTAAAGATTAAATTCGTCGTTGCTCAATTTTCTTGCGCGAGAATTAAGCTCGTATCCGCCATTTTTAATTTCCTGCCGTGAGGATTAATCTCAATAACCGTCATTTAAAATCTTCATCCGGGAAGATTGAAATTACCCAAAGCTCGCCGATGGATATAAATTTCCGGTATTAAACATCGGAAACGATCGCTCGGAAGTGGTAGAAAAATCGTCGCGTATTTGCGAGGTAAACGAAATCCTGCTGGTTCGATTAAATCTATGACGAGATAGCGGCCGCTTAATTGGTGTTTTCCCAAGGAAAATACAGGAATCAATCGGAGGGTATCGAGGCACGAGGAGGGAAACGGCACTTCTAATTTTCACGTAGTCACGATTTCCGAGCAGGGTTTATTGTCTTCGTCGGAGGGAATCGCTAGCGACTGGAAAATTAATTCTTGTTATCGATCAACCGGGACGCGATCCGTCTGCGGCTTTGTTTCGGTCGGAAAGTCGCCTTCTCCACGGGAAAACGCCCGAAATCTTCGCCGAGATAGCCCAGAGGTCTAGCTAATCTCGCGAGTCGACGAATAATCTCGCCAAAACTTTTTCCCCTCGTCGGTCACGGGGTAACGAATTATCTCGAAAAATGAACGATAACGCGAAGCAGCTGCGATTTCGAGCGGGGAACTCGAAAATATGGCGCGTGTTTGTAAATTTCTGAATCAAAAATTCCGAGAAGTTGCTGTGAACAGCAAGTTCGCAACGGTGCGTTTACTAACTCCAGATTTGAGAAATTTAATTGAGAAACAGAAATATCGAATATCAATTTTTGGAATTACTTGTTAATTTGATAAAATAATTCGTAAATTGCGTAAAAAGAAAAATATTTCCCTTTATTTCGAATAACTCGAGTATTAAATTTGGCAACGAATTCCGCTAATTTTTGCCACGCTTATGGCTACGTTGGCGCCACCTTTGTTTTAAAATTATTTTCCGTAATTCGTCGATGTTTCCGAGTTGCTGGTTGTTTTTATAATCGGTTGAAATTGTCGCCAACAATTTTGCACGATATTTAAATTCGCTGAGCAAATTTGCCGGGTTAAATATTCTTCCGCGAGAAGCACCGTTCATCGATTTTAACACAGAGAGCGATATTATCCCGGTGCAATGCAACTGGTCATACTTTTATTATTAAATATACCCTTTTATTTTATATAAACAGATATGTATGCTCTCGACGTCCCTATTTTACAATTATTCTGATAAATTAAAACGGGAGATCGGAAAAATCAATTCGACGATTACGAGCTTGCGAAAAACGATATTTACACGAATTCAACGTGTTTAGAACTTGATATTTTTTCGCGTACGTGTGTACATATCGCACGAACGAACCCGATGATACAAAATAATCCAGGAAAGGAAACGTCTTATCTCATAACCGAAGCAAAGTTCCACGAAATTCCAATTTCGACTCGTTAACAGATTCTTAAGATCCCGCGAGAACTTTCGTCATGCACCTCGTGGTACCGCAATTACCGGAGTCACATGGTGGTATTAAGCGCTATACAAAACACTGAAAGGAGCGTGGAACTCGTGGAGGGAAAAATTTCGTCGATAGACAAAACCATATAAGGAAGCTCTGCAGCTTCTACAACCCCAACTCGCCAGGGTTGGAAGTTTGCGTCGGGCCACCGGCTCCGAGACAAGTTCTTTCCAAGTTTCGTTTACCGAGGAAACTCGGCAAATTCGATTAACAATCACCCCGTTTCCAGCAGGCGAGCTTTTAATTGAAAGATTGCGTAGTTAACGTCTCGGGAATATGCTCGATCGACTGTTCGGTTTACTCGAGAGTTTCCAGAGGGTTCGATTAACCCCGTGGTCCCGGACCAGCGGCGATCCATCTTCGAAATTCGATGGATTTTTCCCTGCTATCGTCCAGCTGATTTCCGCTTCGGAAATTCTCGCGGCGATGGAGAAAGAGGAAAAATGGCAGGGAAAAGGAGGGGAAAAAGAAAGGAGAAGAAGGGAAAACGAGGAACGACAATGGACGCTGGCCATGTGAACGCCGGAGGAGACAAAACGATGGTAACCTCGTGCGAAACACGGGGAATTCCGCGATGACAGCCGCGTTATTTCTCATTTACGAAACGAGACAGCCTCGTCGGCTCTCGCGCAAGTCATTTCAAACAATTTTCTTACACGCTCGTAAACTTAGCTAGCTGCGAACGAACCTATGAAAATACCAAGCGACACGCGTTTCCCGGACTGACAATTCTCTTCCCGTCCCCCCTTTGATCCGTGTGTCGATGGTGGAATTAACGTGCTCGCGTTCCATCGGGACGATTATTTTTCTTTAACCACGCCTTATTTTCCTTTAATCTTGCCGCACATTAGTTTTTAATATCGCCACTATCGGCAGCAAAATATTTTCCCTGCCTCGTATCTCTGTGTTCCGGTTATCGTTTGTGAAATTTCTCTTTTATACCTGGTGGTATGACAACTGCTGGTACAAGATAAAAGGCACGGGTCTGCGGGGAAAAGGTAAAATGGTACTTCCTAGAACGATGCGTTTTCATACCGAGCTTCGCTTTTGAATAATTTCGTATTAAAGATTCGTAACATTCCCGTATGCGATACTTTGACATGGTACCATTTACGGTTGATGACGAAACAAAATCGGACGCTACTTCAGAAAAATTTCATCAAAAGACTCTGATTTTAATAAAAATTTATGTTCAATATGAGCGAAGTCAACGATTGAAGTCCTGAGGATTTTCTCGTTCCTTAAATGGGACTTCATGTGGAAAAATTGGAGGACCTCGCGATGGAGCACGAGGAATTAAACGTGTTTTATTCGGGCAATTTATATTATTCAAATTGCTTTTCCATATTTTGTATGTTACACGTATACTTCCGAATAAACGTTGAAATAAAATTATTTTTTGATCGAACGTTTATTAATTTCGATATCGTTGGAAATATTTTCCACCCTTTTGCCGACATAATCGAATCCCGTGTGTTACACACCTGTGAGCATGTCCCGTTTTCAAACATTCGGATATTTACCGTGCTCCATACGAAAAAGAGAAAAATCGTGAAAATATATTTATAATTTATTGTTTCGGATAAATTCGTCCCTTTTTGATCAGTACCATTGGTACAGTAACAACATGTCTACCGAAAATATTTTCATGCGTTCAACAATCTCGTTTCGCTGTTGCCTTCTATTTTATTTACAAATATAATTAAATATTTGCACAGAGTAATTCGAAAAAGAGATACTTGCCTTGCCGAATTTCGTTTGGCAATCGCGATACAGCCACGAGTTGGCTATATCGAATTAGAGTATTCGCGGAAGTGTGTCGACGGGAATTCTTGG